CTGGACTTGTAATTCACAACTAAAGTTGTTGTAAACACTTTTTAGTGACAGGCTGTAAGATTTTTTCTTTTTTACCCTTCAAAGTTTACAATTTGAGTTTACAATGAACTCTACAGGGACTCTACACTCTCCAAGCTTCAAGTGGCCATCCAGTTTTTAGCACTTCTGCCTTGACGTCTCACGTTGAGGTTGGAGGTCACTGATATCTGAACACATCTGTGATTTTTAATAGATACACCTACAGTATCAATTTCAAAATAATACGTCGCTTCATTCACAAGTTATCATTCACAAACTTAGGCATCCATGCTGGCCTATCAGCCCTTTATGGGCAATGAACTTCTCCATCTTCTACATGGGCTGTGACGGATGACAACCAGGAGGAAGGAATCCAGGAACAGATCCAGATCCAACATAAGTTTCCGATCATCACACAAACACACATAACACACACACACACACGGGAAAGAGAGAGAGAACAAAAGGAAAATGTGGGGTCATGACAATCTAAGCAGCTTCACAATAAAATACTTACGTTTGATCAACCGTCTCCAAGAAATTAAAAGACGTTCAGTTCCTTTCTTTCCAAGATGCTTAGACTACATTGACCTAAGTTGTTACACAATCTCAGAAGAGGAGAGCCATTTAGGCACCACCTTCCGCCACCTGACACCCCCGCCATGACCACCACTTATGATGGAAATTGCCTACAGATGAAGTATGGACTGTGCCTGAGCGGACATACAAAACTCACAGGTTCCCCACTCTCAGGGCTTTCCAAAAGGTGGGGGCCCGGCAGGGGGTGCTGGGGGGACAGGGGGTGGTGCCTCACAGCCCTCCCCCTCTTGGAGTGACAGTTTCTATGAAGGAGGTCTATGTCTCTCTGTGCAGGCCACGGCCTACTATATCCCCCTGACTAAAGACAGAGTTGGGTTGCTGAGGTCGGAGTGATTACTGTCCTTCTACTTACAGGTGGTGGGTCTTGGAGGACAACTGCTTACCCTCTTGAGGATACTTGAGGGTGCATGGGAGTTTGCCCAACCAGTCTACATGTGTTTTGTAGACTTGGAGAAGGCATTTGACTGTGTCCCTCGAGGTGTCCTGTGGGAGTATAGGGTGTCTGGCCCATTGCTATGGGCATATGGGCCATCCTTATACAACTGTTGCAAGAGTTTGGTCCGCATAGCCGGCAATAAATCTGAATCATTTCCGGTGGGTGATGGGCTCACCCAGTGCTGCCCTTTGTCACCAGTTCTGGTGGGAACAAGAATCAGCACCTCCAAATCTGAGGCCATGGTCCTCAGCCGGAAAAGGGTGGAGTGTCCTCTCTGGTTCAGGGACAAGTTCCTGCCTCAAGGGGAGGAGTTTATGTATCTGGGGGTCTTGTTCATGAGTGACGGGAGAAGGGAGCGGCAGATCGACAGACGGATTGGTGCTGCAGCTGCAGTGATGCGGATGCTGTCGTGATGAAGAGAGAGCTGACAAGTCTGTTGTGGCCAGTCCCAGCCTCTATGCTGTTGCATGCTGGGGCTTCAGGTTGACGATCGCAGATGCCAACAAACTTAATAAACTGATCCACAAGGCCAATAATGTTGTGGGGATGGAGCTGGATTCCCTTAAGGTGGTGTCAGAGAGGCAGATGTTGTCCAAGATACGGTCAATGCTGGACAACACCTCCCACCCACTCCATGATGTGCTGGCCAGTAACAGGAGCACTTTCAGTGAGAGGCTGAGATTACACAAATGCACCACTGAACGACACAGGAAATCATTCCTGCCTGTACAACTCCTCTAATGCAAAATGCACAATACACAGTGCAATAGTTAAACCCTTTGCATATCCTCTGCAGTGAAAATAACAAATAACCAAGTTTTACAGATTAGAGTAAATCATATATATATTTAATAGTAATATTCTGGATTTTTATAATTGAGTTATTTGTATATATTTGAGCTATGTCTTATATTTATAACTATGTAATATATTGTATTATTTAATTTAGTCCAGTCAGTTACTGTCCTTACTGTCTTGGAGCATTCATTGATCTTTTTTTTTTCACAAATAGAGGAAAATTAAAATGTTAATGATGTTACCATCTTTGCATGAAAGACAAGTGTATAAACACAGCGAGGTCTGGTGATAGACATATGGAGAATTTGAATAATGTCTCAATTTCTTTCTGTGCTTTATGTCAAGTTGAAGCTTTGCTCATTTCCCACTTAATTATTACTCTGTGTAAACTAGCATTAGACATGCTTTGGAGTGTCCTATATTTAGAAAGTGCCTTTCTGAATTCCCAGTTCACACAGCAATAATTAATTCAATTAACCAGATTGTTTTTAGATACAGACAATCACAATGCCAAATATAATCAATTGAGCATTTTCATTTGAGGCTCTGCCAATCTCAGCCTTGATTTATTTAATATTTAAATGACATGAGTATTATTTGAAATGCTTCTACAGTGTGTAAGAGTGAAAAAGTGAGACTTCTCATTGGACTTTATAGTCCTACAGCTTTTTCCCAATGACACAACACAACACACTACACACACTGCAGACAAATGCATGCAGAAAATGATTTTGAAGCAAAGGGTGATATCTTGGTAACAGTGCATTTAGTGTTTTAAGGTTATGACTGAAAGCTCTGACACTTGTCTAATCCAAAATCATGCAAATGAACATTAATGTTAATTTGATTTTTTTTAAGCATCGAAATCCACAAAGAAGACAAGGAGAGGCTTTTGTACCCTAGAACACTTTTTCATGTGTTTTCTTTAAACCACAATTACTGCTATCAAGAATGCATTAAAAAACAAGAAGCACTGTCAAAGCACAAACCTCCCATCAAGGCAGCTCTCTGGAGTATTTACTTTGAAGGGAATAGTGTTGTATTTTTTATAGATTTGTTTTGTTTTGTTAGCTCTTTTTAAATGGACTTTAAGAAGTTTGTAGTGCAGTAAAAAATTAGATGAGGGTAGCATGGGAGATGTCTATTTTGACTACACCAACATTAGGATAATATGTATTGATTTGTAAATAACTGAATATGAATGACTGCAATAAGTGCAATTTTGGCAAGACTCCCAACAACACTGTCTGAAAAGCAGCCCTCGATTGTCTGCACCCACTCCCCTCTCTCCTGAACTCCTCCATTAATGATGATAACGTGAACCAAAGGTTCGCTCCTTGTTTCCCTTCCTTAAGAACGGTTTCTTGACAGCCACCACTGAGAACATTTCTGATGAGGCCTCGGGGAACAGTAGATGGATCAGCTTAACGGTCAGATTGACTGTCAGCTCCTGTGTCAGGTCTTTGTTGGGCTTTTGGTTCTTCGTTAAGAATGTGACTATCAGACACTCTTCATCTGCCGTAGATCGTTTTTAAGGTCTGCCTCTTCTTTTATGCTCCTTCAGATGTCCTGGAGAAACACTAATCAAATACAGGAAAGTCGAGCTCTTTGGAAGCAAAATATAAAGAAATGGAATGACGCTAAAGATTTGTACTGTGCTGTACATCTGTATGAAAATATGTCACTTTCACGGGTCATTAGCAGACCTCCTTACTGATACTTACAGCACTATGCACAGATATCACTAAACCATTTAACTGTTAATATGAATGATGATGAAATGCTATAGGAAAGCATTTATATATGTGTGAATAATTTGATAAGAAGTGGATTTATAATATATCATAATGCTTAGGCATGCTTACAAACCAGCCACACACTATAAAATGTTGGCTGCGTTTGAAACCCCGCTGTTCAGTCGTATGGACATAAGCACAGTCTGCATCTCTGAACAGCTGCTCGACAGTGTGGCAGCTCCAACTCTGCTGTAACGTTTGCTTCATGACAGGAGTCCAGTTTTTTGTTTTGTTTTTTACTCAACCAACTCAGTTAAACTGTAAGAGATGGGGGTGGGACTCAGTTCTTACAGTACATTCAAATCATTATATGTTCTGTGTGTAATCATTTCTCAGGTTAGATAGTTTGGGTTAATTGAAGGTGGCTGCATGGACTCCGATTGAAGGAAAGCTGTTGGTCTTGCCTTGCACAGAAGGCTGAATGTTCACCTCTTATATAATAGCAAATATCCACTGTCTTTGGGCTGCATAAGCGGGGGAGTTAGAAGTAATCTGTACTGTTCCATAAGATACTCTAATGCACTTATAGCATTACATGGTAGTCTTATGTACAGTACAAATCATGTTTCTGTGCAGCTGTACACTTCAGAAAGTTTTTTCCCCCTCTCTACTGGAGAGTTGAGGAATTCTGGAAGGGAAACATTGGGAATTTGGAGAAAAGCCTTGAGCCTCTGCTTCTTTCTGATTTCCAATCTATCCCTGCTCTTGAAGCCATTCCTTCAAATGTGAATAAGACGCCATTTCTGTTTTCTTACACAACATGCCCCCTTCTGTTGTGTGAGCCAACACTCCCCCATGTGTTTGCATTACTTTAACCTGACAATCTGACACTGGGATTTCCTACAAGCAAGCATAGTGTGTGGGCTGCTTTGTTGAGCGGAGATGTGCAGGGTCATGTGTGGATGCGTGGGAAGAAAATATACAGTATCTGATTCTAAGTATATTCACTGATACACATGATGAAGTGAAAGATAAAGTGGTGGGGAGTTAAATAAGGACGAAACAGGTTCTAGCTACAAACATTTATTTATTTTCTTTAATCTTGGAACCTGGGTCCCTCATAAGAAGGCAATCCAGTGCAGAGAGGCCTGAGATGGATTTTGTGATATGTTCATGCCATCTAGTGGAGAACAAACATGGTCCACAGAACTGAAGAGCCAGCTTGAAAACCATTTCCTGTAATATAGTGTTTCAGAATAACAACTGTTCTTTTAAATTAGTTTGTTTTTCATCACATTTACTAAACTAGCAATACAAATATAGACATCCTCCCTATTTATTTATACAAAAGACTAAATAATAAGGGAGAAATAACAAGGAGGCCCTGAAGGCAACATTCACCATGACAACGGTATACAGAGCCAGCGGGGCGGCTAGCTGCGATCTATACTGTTTACCTACAGCATTATAAGACGGTGAGTTAGCTTTATTATGAATACCAATAAAAATATGTCCTTAAATCTGTCTTTTGCAGCAGCTTGACCTTTTTTATTTATCACTAACTTCGTTTATTTATCTGTAGTTTGGCAGGGTTTGCTTGCGTTTGCTTGCTGCTGGTGTAATCACAGGAGGACGGTCACATTTCAACAGCAAAGACGAGCCCTTACTTAGGGGTAAAGTTATTTAAAAAAAAGTGTATTTTTTAAATTAATTTATTAATTATTTACACTGTTTCTGTCGGATTTGACTCACTTACTCACTGTCTTTATGACACATTGAACATACTTTACTTTTGAAAAGCGTCTTTAACACATTACCAGAAACTCCTAAAAAAAAAAAAAAAAAGGTCAGAAACAGAAATGTTTTATAGCAAAACATTATTAGTGTGCCAAGTACTATAATACTATAATTACTTCTCTAATCTCTGGCGTCAACAAGACACTTTTTTGCCCAGAACCTGCGGTGAGAAGAAAAGCACATCAGCCCATTTGGCACTAACACATACCAACTGACACCTTCAACGTCACTTAAACATATATACAGAATACATGTTTAAGAATACTTATTTAACATATAAAAAATATAGAGAAAACAAGAATAACATCCTTTAAGTAATCATCTAATCATCTAAGCCCCTCACCCACACACAGATGTTTGATTGGGCCTCTTCCCCTGACCTTTATATTTGTATGATTACACAGAGCCTGATGACATTATAGAGATCACGCCACGTTTCCAACCAAAATAGATCCAATTAGTATGAAAACACACACAATGCCTTTAATGATAGTAAATGTATTTTGAAAATAAAACTGTCGGTTATAAGAGGCATTTTAAGATTTAGGAAAGAATGTAAAACAAATAAATAAGATTAAGGAATCTTGTAGGTGGAAATTGCCAGGACGCCTTCACCAGAGGACATCCGTCTGGCTTTTAGGGTGTGAAACGTTCAGAAATGTAACTTCCTGTTCTGCCAAGAATAACTTTTTCTTTTCCCAGCCTGCAGCCACATTAAATGCTAAGCTAGTTCAACCCCTGATGTCAGAAGCACCTCAGATATGTCATCGCCGCAGCTTAGTAAGCTTCTTTTATAAAGTCATGCTTTACACATTACAGTGTGTGTACTGTCAGCGCATCATGATTGGTTTGTGCTGCATTTCAAATATGTTTTCATCAGAGAGAAGAGAGATTCGTAAAATAAAACTGAGTTGTAGAATAAAAAGAAATAACAGAAAGTGTTGCAACTTTTGTTGTTTTTATCTTTTATTCCCAACGTGTGTAGGGACAAGGAGGAAGAGAGGGACTCAGCTGAGCCCGTTCAAAGTGCCAGACGGCAACAGCATTTTTCTGCTGCGTGTAAACGAAAGAGAGGACCGTAAAGAGGTTTGTGAGCATGCTTTTGCACATTTATGTATGTCCAAATGACAGATTTTCTCTCCACGCATTATACTGGCATGGCAGCATTTTCTAAAAGTGAAAAATGGATCTTTGTTGTGTTAAAGTCATGCTGCTGTTCGCCCTTTGTGCTCAGGAGATGCGTAAATTCCTCGCTCTGCCAATTGATGAGAAGACAACCCACGCTGCAAGAGTGACGGCCAAGCTGAAGAATGAGCTGGTGGGAGAAGTGGAGGACGAGGCGGAGGAGGAGGAGGAGAAGAAGGGGGGAAATGAGAAGATGACGAATCTAAAACCAATCAAGAGTAGGACAGTTCCCCCTAAGCAAACATCTGGTGGACGAATGAAACAAGGTAAGTGGAAGAGGAGTAGAAAATTCAAAATATATGTGAACAAATACGATCAATTTAACATGTTGTTTGTCCTCTGTCCCCAGAAAAAGTAACAAAAGACAACAAGCATGCCTTAATCTCCCTGGAACGACAGAAAGCTGTGTTGGAGGTAAATGATTTCAACAGTTGCTAATATGCTGTCATGTTTTTTGCATCAGCGCTCTGTCTAGTATTAATGGAGGATAACTATCATCCAAACTCAGCTACTGAACTAAAACAGGTTGTTCTAGTTAAATAAAAACTTTTCCTCTGATGTAGCCTTATAGATCCAGCCGAATGAGACAAAGTCAAGTTAATGCAGAAAAGGTTAATAAATCCTCTTTAGGTCTTCATTTTGGGTCAGGCCTACTGTTCTAACCTCACCTGGTGAATGTTCACGTCATTTAAACTCAGCGCCACCAGCTTTTAATGTTTTCAACATGAGTTATGAAAATTATGACAATAGAATTGAACACACATGGGTATCTTCTTCTGTGTATGTGCTTTTGAATGTTCCCCATGAGTTAGATCAAGCAGATGACTGCTTGAATGAATGATCCACTTCTGTTCTCTTACTAAAGTCATCTCAGATAGACAGACAGATAGGGAAATTATTATTAATTACTATTACAATAATATGCATCATGTAAGATTATAGAAGTCTGGCTTCATCTTCTTCTCGTCCTCCTTTCCTCAGTTATCCGTGATGGCAAAGAGGTCTGAGATTTTGAGGATGGACGAGGCCATAGTAAAGGAAGAGAAGTTGCTGAAACACCTGGAGCGGAGCATTGAGAGAGACAATGTCAGATTTGAAGAGTTTCTCAGGGAGAATGAGAAGAAGTCTGTGGAGGCCAGAACGCTGTAAGGATTAAACAGTGGCTATCCTGTTAGCGTCTCTGTTCAATTTAAAATCACATTTTCATAAAATAGTGTTTTAGGGATGCACCACTGTGATGTACGTAAATCATGCTGACTGATGTCGGTGTTTATACCAGCAGTGCTCATAGATTTTAAAATAAGTATTTTTTTTATAATAAGAATGTTTGGTTGTTGTTTCTCAGCTCATAAAAGGAGAATAAAGAACAATGTGCAAGAGTATGCAAAAAAATATGCAAAAACTCCTGAACATGCTTATTTCTGCCGTACCTGTACTGATGATTAAAAGGTTCCTTTGCAAATAGTTGTGTTTGTCTCTGCTGCCAGGTATGAACAGGAGGCCAGGTCAACACAGGAGAAGAACAATGAAATCAGGAGGCTAACTGCTGAAATACTCACCATAAAAAGGTAGCATTCAGATCATCTTGAAAAAAATCAAATGTGTGTGGGCATCAGCCCTGTCTCAGTCCGTCAGCATGTTTATCCAGAAGGTGAACTCAGAGGCGCTAAAGGTGGTTTCCTTGAAGATACAGTTTTTATGTTGTGTAGATTTTAATGTAGTCTTTCTTCTGCACAGTGAACTTGCCAGCTTTGAAGAAATCCTGGTAGACTACAAGAGTTATAAGGACCTTCTATTCAAGCTGTCTCCTCCAGAGTGGCAGGAGGCCCAGAGGTCAAAGGTTATGTCTTGTAAAGGCACCAAGGAGGACCAGAACAGGGAGCTTAAAGACACTGCTATTAGGAATGGCAAGTAATGCCCAGTAAATCACCATAAAATAGGCAACAGAGACCAGCATGGCGGTACTCTGCTTAATGTCCTGCAATTGACTTAAATGATTCTTTCATTTATTAACATGCACGCAGGTTTGGAGACTCCAGGCAGACAGCTGACGTCCATCCAGGAGACCAGGCTGTCCCCAGCCCACAGTGACAGTCTGTAAGGGAGCACCAGCACTCTCGTTTCACTCATGGCTTTGTTTAATATTTCTGCACATCCACTGTTTGTGTCATAGTTTTGATGTAGTGCTGAATGTGGTAGTTAAGCACTTAGGAGCACCCTCAATTCACCCTCTGTCTGAAACAAGCCACCCTCGTTGTAAGCCTTCACAACCTGTACAGGAAAAACGTGAAAATGAAAGACCAGCAGTGACTGGCAACAATATATGAGCTACATGAGCACAGTCGCAACAATTCTGCCAGAAAGAGGTTTTGTATTTCAAACAACAACCGCAAAATAAAGAAAAACTAGAAGATCACATTTAAAATCCTCTCCAGTGTTGCTGTAACTTCTCTCACAGGTGTAAAACTCTTACATTGCAGAGTCACAGATCCTAAATTGGACAGTGACAGCTCAGATTATGAGGTCAGTTTTTCCCGATCCTATCTTACGTTAACTAAAGGAGCAGCTTGAATATTTCTTCCCAGTACTGACAGTGGTATGTCTTACCCACCTCTCTGTAGGATGAGCCAGAGCTGTATTTCACTGATCCCCAGCAGCTGCTGGATCTGATGACAGAGCTGACGGAGCAGAACCTGTCCCTGATTCAGAACTCTACGAGGGTGGAGGAGACTCTGGAGCAGCTCCAACAGTCCTTGAAAACAACCAAGAAGAATCAGTAAGCATGTCACATGGCTCTGTTACATTACGCAGTGGCTAAATCTCTTTTTGCTTGCAGCTTCAGAGCTCTTATAACACTCAGGGTTTTACTGTTTTCTGGTTATTCCAGCTGCCCTCTTTTCTCATTGCTGCTTTCTTTCTGTCAAGTGAAAAGGATGAAAAACAAATTACAATGCAGATAAATGAAATGAAGGAGAGAATCGAGAAGGAGAAGGCGAGAGGAGCCAGGCTTGAGCGGAAGGTCCTTCTCCACGTGTCCCTGAATACACAGGACCAGGTAACACAGAATACACCGCTGCACCAAGCTGCACTTGGTGACTTTTACAGGCCTCGTAATCACTTCGCTTACCCACAGGATGTGTTACTGGATGCTCTGAGCGAGAAGGTGGCAGAGGTGCACCGCAGCTGCATGGATGACAGGATGACCAAACTAAACACTTTGGAGAAGCTGACCAACATTGAGAAGCGGCTGTCTTTACTACTGCAGAGCCTTGAGAGCATCCCTGAAGAAAAACTGGAGTTAATGAAGAAGATCAAGGACAGCGAGAGGAGGACCAGGTACTGTGTGCCTCAGTGGCTCAATGTTCCACCCTCAGCCCACTTGGCTATTGAATTTTTCACCTGTAAAAAAAAAACTTGAAATATTTTCAGTAACAGCTGCAGAACTGTGAGGCTCTATGGTAAAAACAGAATTCCTTGATTAGAAACTAGCTTTTGTTTTTTTTTCTTCTTGAATGTATTATTTTCAGTCTTAGCAGAAATTACAGTGCAGTGTTATATAAACACCCTCCCACTCTCTCTACAACATGTTGCAGGGAGCGTGAAGACAAGCTGAGAGAGCAGAGAGAAAAACAGAAAGAAAGGATGAGGAGGTACTCGGAGAGATCGCTGGCTGACTCCAAGAAAATCGTGGGTCTTTTTTCATTAACACTATTCTCCAGTTTAGTTTTTCTGACTTACAACTTTTAAAGAAACTGATTCAGTTGCACACTTTCGGGATTTTCTTTCAGAGTGGGAAAAAGCTCATGCCCAGATATATGCCTGTTACCCAGAGAGTCAAAGTCAGCAACATGGACAGCATCCCAGCTCAAGATGAGATTCACGAACACCTCTTTGGCCCTGAGAACACGGACTGATAAAAAAAATACAAAGAAAATAACTGAAAGTGCTATCATGCCTCAGACGCACAGGCTGATGAGTGATCATGTATTATCACACAGATGCCACAATCATGACATGTCAGTAAGTCAATATGAGCTGAGATACTACAAATTTAGCGTTGGAGTGCAGAATAAAGCCATCTAACTGTGGTAAACGTTTTGGTTTTGTTGCCTTTTATTCTTAAACTGGCTGATATTTTGCTAATCTTATGCAATTAAGATCATTTAGAAAGCTGAGCTTTGAATATTTCAAACATGTTTAAGCATTTTTTAAGCTTTTTCTAGTTTCTTTATACAATTGTTTAAAGGTGCTTTATGTGAAGACCATGTGATATTAGAGTTTGAAGCTAATGTCACATGGACAATCCTATATGAGCAGCACTTCAGTGGTGGGAAGGAAGAGCTCCCTTTTAACAGGATGAGACCCCCAGCAAGGGCCTCCCATATTGCTGGAAGGGGGGAAAAGCAGAACTGCATACAGTAAATGCTATTAAAAATATGGGAGAAAATAGTAGTTATTCACTCTAGCCAATAAACACAAAGTTAACCTTAAAAAAAACAACAATTTGTCAAGTGAATACCCCTACCACACTGGTAGGTTTTCTCAGGTGTGTGACATTTAATTGCTTCGCTCATGTATGAAAACACATGTGTAAATTTCTCATGTTATTTTTTAATCTCCATTACACCACTGTATATTTTCAGATGAAAAAAAATGTCTGTTCACGCATAGCAAACAAATTAATGAATCATGAATGAATCAACAATATTCCCAAAAGCTATATATATGTTGATGATACTGGTACCCTCAGCAGTCTATATAAAGTAGGTTTGATTCAGACTGATTGATGCATCGTGGAGGAGTGGGAGAACATAAAATACATACCCTATGATCATTATAGTAAGATATTATTTGCATTATTTTCTAGCACATTTATTTTCTCACTGAGTCATTTCTTTATTTTTTTATTTGGATTTTATTTTGGCCCTTCACAAAACTTCACGTAGAGGACAGCAGGTGGTGATGTTTCACTTTCATCTGAGCTCTGTCACCAGCCGGAGAGGAAGAAAGGAGGATGAGGAAGTGGCTGGAGCGAGAGGAGTACGTTTGGAGATGTAGCTGCCAACGCTAATGCTCCAGCAGCTGTCAGGCGATAGGCAGCCGGATCATAGGAACATTTGACAATGCGATGGGTAACTGCTGGGCATACTGTGTGGGGCTCTTCAGGAGAGAAACCAACAGGATCCAGCGAGGAGGGGGGTGAGTCAACTGTGAGCTTTAGCTGCCTGAGCTAGCTAGCATGCAAGCATCACCCGAAGCGGCGTTATCTGCTTGCTGATAAGGTTGGCCAGTAGTTTGACACGGCAGTCTGCCTGTGAGCACTTGGGCAGCTGTGTAGGGATGCTGTTATTACAGACGGTGATGTTGTAAATCAGAGATACGGGCCAGCTAGTTTAGCCTCTAGCTGTACGGTACCTGCAGTCAGCCAGTGCCAGTGGGAATCAAGACCCCACCCCTAGTGTCAGGAGCCTGTAGTTTAGCTGTAGACTTGTAGTTTAGCTAAGGTCTGATAATGACAGCACAGCTGACAGAGCTTCTGGAGAGCTCACACACAATCATGTAAACTAATATATGGACAGTTTGGCTGCTTGGCTAGCTGCTGGGATTAATTGCCTGTTTTTTGCCTTAGCTTCAGGCTGTTGTGTCACCCAGTTGAATGTAAATAATTGATGCTTTTTAGTCTGACTTTACCTTGTGCTTTGTTAAGGTGAGAGAAGGCTTTCACTCTACCAGCAACGAGCCTTTTCACACTTTCATCCATAGATTTATATAATGGAGCTGACAGTAGCTAACACTTCGTACCACAGTAGTAGTTGTAACTTAGCCCAAAGTGGCATTACAACAAAGGTGTCCTCTTCAGTGAGGTATCTGAAAATCCCCCAATATGTAAATGCAGTCAACAAAATATTTATTGTATCATTATCTGTTCTAAGATAATTTTTAGGTATAAACTAAAATGCTTGAGCGTGGTGATTTTTGAAGTAGAAAAACTTTGCTCACACTCTGCAGTGCTCACTGGACAAACGATAGCAATCCTGCAAAGGCGAAAAATATTTTAGGAACATAGAAGTTGGGGCGAGGCTCTACAGCAGGGGGGCAGTTGCCCCCCTTCCGCTTGCCCCCCTGTAGATCTGCCCCTGGTTTTAAGTTTTTAAGTCACACTCTCTCTCACTGACAGTCATTAAAATGAAGGGAAAAAACAGCTTTTTTTTCTCTCTTAGGTTTGACTGTTGTAGATCCTAAAGGTCACAGCTCAAATCAATAATGTTAATTGGCAGTATTTGATGCAGGGCAGGTGAGGCTGTCAGGACTCCTGGTACAGATGTCATTTAGCAGGCCGCTTTAGTGGAAGTTACATCTGTGTAATATAGCTTTCTCATGTACAGTTTGTTCCACATAAAGCATTCAACTAGCCTCAAGTCCTTATGTGGGTTGGGTCAGGAAGGCCATCCAGCTCTGCCAAATCAAACACGTGGAGCTGCTTGCTGTGGTGACTCAGCAGCACCCAAAAGTCACACAAAATAATGGATTCAGACTACATTTGAACACAAACTGAACAGCCAACACTCAACAACCTGTTTCCTATTTCACAGGCCTAACAGTGACGCATCAATAATTATGTGGGAAATTTCACAATACAAAGTTCATAGAGTTTGCTTATGCTAATATCTGTTTACCTACATACAGCTGAGACTTCTTTCATGAAACTGGTGGAACAGCCTGTAGAGCTTTGAGATTTGGCTATAGGTTCATGCTTCTTTTTTTTTTTAGTTCATTTCCTTTATGAAGCCACTGCTCCTGGTTTATGATGCAATAACTCTGGCATTGTGAATTCAAACATCAAATTAATACCACACAAATGAGTCCCTAGCATTATTTTAAGACCTTAACAAGGCTTTGTGTCAGACTAAGGAGGTTTCAAGAAATGAGTATTTAGTTTACACTGGGCCTTTTATTTTGAAGATTTTAATTGTATTTTGAAAATTAAGCATCAGGAATAGACCTGGTGTATATTTTTAACAATATGAAGAAGAGACAGGAAAGTGAAAAGTGCTGAAGCTAATTTATATTTGTCTCATTCATTATACTCTAGATCAGGGTTGTCAAAGTAATTTTACATCGTGGGCCAAACCAGTGAAACAGCCCCTTCTGTCAGTGTAAAGGTGTTTAACTACTAAATTAATCCCATTTAATATAAGAAGAAAGTTGTTAGTAGTACGTCTAGCATGTCTCTGTTTTTCTACATGATAACGAAATGCTGCTGTAGTAAATGACAGAAATGTTTAATTTTGATTAAATCTATAAAATTAAAGAAAATAAAGTTATTGTAGTAATTGCAACTAAAACAGAACAATTCACAGTAATTCACAAAAATGTTGTTTTTTTTTTGAGTTTGTCAGAAATAAAAATTTAAAGTACATAGTGGAAAAAAAACTGGAACTTGGAAGTGGGCCGATTCTGGGCCGCAGGCCTTATGTTTGGTACCCCTGCTGTTTGAAATTAATTTTTTTTCTCTTCATTTTTCCTGCAGGTCAAAATACTTCCGCAGCAGCACCACAGGGGAGCACTACACAATCGAGGTGTGTACATTATTTATTTATTTATTTGAACCTTTCTTAAGAATGACTATTTAAGCTAATGCAATGAGTCTAACTGTGCTTTTTATTTATTTCTTTTTTCAGTTTGAGAATCTGGTAGAAAGTGATGAGGTAAGTTTAGATTTTACGAGCTAAATAAGTCTGTGAAAAAAATGCTGTTTTCTGATTAAAAGCTGGATTATGCTCCTTGGATCAGACCGTCCATTATTGCCGTGCTCGGCTCATGATGGATAGAAAACGATGTGATGTGGCCATCCCTGCGATATGGGAGTCATACATTTTTCCTCCCAGAGAGTAACTCGATTACTCTCCGCTCAGTCCCAGAGTAGCACTTCTTGAGTCAGTGCAGCAGGGTAGATGCATTTCTTAGTGGATTTCGGAGCTATTTGCTAAAAAGTATGTTGTGTATGTTGCATTGCAGGCTGAGAGCCCCCAGCCCTGCCCGAGGTGAGAGATCCTGCTCAGATGTAAAGAAAAAGCTAATAATCTCTGGCATGAAAAAAGAAAACAAAAAGAGTAATATGTGTTCTTGTTTTTCCACCAGGCCCATCAGTGATGATGAGATCAAGAACCTCAAAGAGCACCGCTACGCTGCCATCTCAGACAAACAGATCGTCATAGACCAAAAGCTGCGAGCCGAGGTGAGGCCACCTGTCCACGTCAAGATTAAACAGCCCTCATTGTTTCATTTTGTGTTTAACTTATGTTGGCTTACCTTTAATTTGCTGCATTGTTTTTTCTGTTTTTGTAATTTTCTGTTCTGTTTTTTTATTTATTTATTTTTTCCTTGTTTGTTTCATTTCATTATTTCTGCTCAGTTAGAGGCACAAGAGGAGAAGTTGAGGCTAGAAGAGGAGGCTAGAAATGCTGCCCAGCGTGAGGCCGCCAGGCTGGCACGTGAACGAAAATTGAAGGAGGTGAGGCGGTACTGAGCGCTGCCTTCTTTACCTTACTGCTCGGCTAAAGCTCCTCCTCCTCCTCTAAGCTGCTGGCCCCTCTGTGCAGAGACCTCCCAGGATTTCAATTTTCTGTTTTGTTTTTTTAATGTATTTTTAAAGGGGACTATGATAATCATTTCCAGCTCCATTTTTCTTCTTGACCAGAAATACAATAAGTTTATATAAGTCACAATATTTGTCTTTCACTGGGCCTTAGTGAAATAAGCCCTTCTGGCTCTCTTTCCCCTAAATTCAATACTTCTTATTGTGGACTGGTGGGTGGGGTTTGTGTCCTTGATATAACCACAGTAGGAATGCAGATGGCATCGTAATCTATGAAGAGAGTCTGGAGAGGTGGAGGTATGAAGCGAGACAGAATACATGTTTATGAATGAGAGGGAGGCAGATACAAAGCTGAAGATGCAAGAAGCAGAGGAAGTGAAGGTGGATGAGTTCTAATACCTGGGGTCAACCATTCAAAGCACACGAGAGGTGAAGAAGGGTGGAGCAGGTAGAGACGAGTGTCAGAGGTGATTTGCGACAGACG